ATATTAACGTTTTTGGGTTGCATAAAATCTTGTAATTACCTTACTGAGTATCGGGAAAGGGTTTTTTTGGGGGGTCAGCACCCCTGCGGTTTGGTCTGTGACCAGGCCTCACGGGGGATTAGGGCCTGTCATCAGGCTGTTTTGGCCACACGAACCCCAGTGTACAAACCAACCCCGGGTGGTCGGTACTGCCTTAATCCCTGTCCAGACTTTTTGAAGACAGCCAGGGCCCATTGGTATCCCCCTTTATTGGGGGAGGCAGTTGAACAGTCGGGGGGCCCCTCACACTTTTTGTGTTCTTTTCCCCATGCAAATGGGACTCTTAGCACAAAAAAAACACAGTATGTGAGGCCTGTCGTAGTGTTACTGTATACTTGTGTAGTAATTTAAAACCCAGTTATTTATAGGGGCCCCCTGGCTACTATACTTTTCAGATTCCCCACACGGGGCCCCATGGGCCAGAGGCTTCACTGTCTTTTCGTTCAGGGTGGGCATAGATCGATGGCGGGTTTCTGGGTTCTAAAAGAACTTATAATTAATCCCCCCCAGACACCCAGTGTGTGATTTTTACCCCAATTTTTTCCCGAACCCCCCGACAAATGGGGTGCATGGGTACGAACCCATGCCTCCTTTTCACTCGATGGCATAAAAAAAGATGGGAGGCTTCTGGGCTTTTCCCAAGAAACCCCAAATTTCACCCCAGTCACCAACGTGTATTTTTTTTCCAATATCTCCTCACGAAACCCCACCACAGCCTAAGACTGTTCAACTTCCTCCCAGCATACATAAGAACATAAGAATGGAAGAACACTGCTAAAGGCCTACTAGCCCATACACCCCTACCCTAAACTACCCAAGAATTTACTCCCATACCCACGACACCAATCAAACCTAGTCCCTCCCACTCGTATATTTGTCCAGTCTCTTTTTAAAGCTACCCAAGGTCCTAGCCTCGATCACCCTGCTCGGAAGATTGTTCCACGCATCCACAACTCAGTTCAAAAACCAGTACTTACCTTTGTCCTTTCTAAATCTAAATGTATCCAACTTAAATCCTATACACCTCGATGATATCTCCCCACATTCTATGTCTCTCCAGAGAGTGGAGATTCAAGGCTCTAGGTCTATCTTCATATGGGAGATTCCTTATACAGTAAATCATTTTAGTCATTCTTCTCGGTATGTTCTCCAATGAATCTATATCCATCCTTTAGTAAGGAGACCAAAACTGAGCGGCATAATCTAAATGAGGCATCACTAGTAGTGTATAGAGCTGTAAAATAACTTGTGGACTTCTGTTACACTTGAAATAAATCCTAGTAATATGTTAGCCTTGTTATGCACACTTAGCCACTGCTGTCTTGGCTTTAGATTTCTGCTTACCATGACTCCCAAGTCTTTTTCACATTCTGTACGATCAAACTCTACTTCACCAAGTTTATAGCTTCGAGGGTTATTTTCATTACCAAGGACTATTACCTTACACTTATCCACATTGAAATTCATCTGCCATTTTTCAGACCAAGACATTAATTTGTCCAAATCCTCCTGGAGTTCATTGGTATCCTCCTCAGAATGAATCATATGACCTATTTTTGTGTCAGCAAATTTACTCGTGTCACTTGTAATTCCTTCATCAAGGTCTTTAATGTAAATTATGAACAACAGAGGGCCTTAAACTGATCCCTGTGACTAATCCCCATTCAGATTTGACCTCATTAATGGACACACACACTGCTTTCTTGTGGTAAGCCATGCCTCTATCCATGCTAGAACTTTACCTCCTATACCATGAGCTGCCACTTTTCTTAAGAGTGTCTTGTGAGGTATGTGTACTCTATTGAAGGCTTTACTAAAATCCAAATGAACAGTATCATATTCTTGATCACTGTCTACTGCCTCAAATGTTCTATTGAAGAACATCAGTAAATTTGTCAGGCGGGAACGACCTCTCGTGAACCCATGCTGAGATTTATTAATCAAATTATGCTCTTCAAGGTGACTTTTTATAATGTCAGCTATACATGTAATTAATTCTGATGATTTGCCTACTATAGATGTCAGACTTGTTGGACGGTAATTTGAAGGAATGGACTTGTCCCCTGATTTGAATATAGGAACTACATTAGCCATCTTCCACATCTCTGGCACAACACCAGTAAGGATGGACACATTAAAAACACTCATTAATGGCTGACTAAGTTCAGCTTGCATTCTTTAAGTACCCTGGAAAACACTTGTCAGGGACTTATTTTGCTTCAGTTTGTCTTATCTGTTTGATAACCATGTCCCTCGTGACAGTAATATTAGTTATTTTGAATTCATCAGGAACTGAATAATTGTTAATTTCTGGAATAGAGGCCTGGCTGTATTCAAGAAGGCACTGGAGTGGCACCTAAAGTCAGTATCTGACCAGCCAGGCTGTGGTTCGTACATCAGATTGCGTACTGCCAACAGTAACAGCCTGATTGATCAGGCACTGATCCGCCACGAGGCCTGGTCACAGACCGACCCGAGGGTGTGTTGACCCTCAAAACCCTCTCCAGGTATATTCATGTGCTTAGCGTAATTGTTGTAGAAATTAATAATGGTAGTGTTAAAAAATAAGGATGTCTAGCAAGGTCACAGACTTTAAAAACCACTAATGTTAATGAATTATCTGGGCAACAGGTTTGATGGCTTGTTAAATGTAACCCTCAGTTTAGGTTTAGATTAGGGTGGGTTATCTTTTATTAGTGCCTGGTAATAGTTATACTAAATTTTTATACAGTACTGTGTATCATTAGTGAAAGAGCTCATCATCAGTAGAAAAATATTGGAAAATTATCCTGCCCAATTGATGGCTTGGTCTAATTTTTAATTTTTTTTTTTTATTTTTTACTTGTTATAAGGATTTGATAATTGACTAAAAGATGCACCTGTTTTACATAAGTAAAACTAACTATTATAAGAGATTTAACCATTGTGTGACACCTGCTCTCCTAGTGGCACATCAAGCACATCCTAAGTATACAGGCAGTAAATTCACAAGGGAGAAAGAGGAAACTGCTGCTGAATGGCTGACAAATCAATGAAGATTTTTTTTGTGTACTGCCTCTTCTTGCTTTCTCCATTGGTGAAGATACATATGTACCCCAAATCAGTGCTGAAGTTTAGTGGTGGAAACTTGTGGGAACAAAAGCAGAAGAATCTGCCCCCTTTGGTTTCAGTTGAATGTTGTTTTTCATGCTTGAGTTAGCTGTCCAGCAACCTCTGCTTCAGTTGAGATGAAGTTCACTACTTTTGGGCAAATTCTTACTAAATTAAGAAACAGACTATGCCATGAAAGGACAGAGAGATAAGATTTTGTTTGGATTTTTAACCCCATAGGGTTAGCCACCTAGGATAACCCAAGAATGGCAGTGCATCATGAAGGGACTGTCTGCCTTATTTCCACTGGGGTCCACACTATTGTTCCCCAGGATGCGACCCACACCAGTCGACTAACACCCAGGTACCTACTTTCTTGCTAGGTGAATGGGACACCAGGTGTAAGGAAACACGCCAAATGTTTCCTCCCTTGCTGGGGATCAAACCATGGATATTCAGCGTGAGGCGAGAATATTGCCTACTAGACCACGGGCCACTGCACAGTATTAATGTATACAGTAACAGTACAGTATCTTTTATGAAATACTATATTTTTTACTAATATTTAAACCATAAATAAATACTAGCTAGATTGCTTGTAATTCTTTATATCCAGCCCATGATCAATAATAGCTTTATGAGTTAAGGTGCCAGGTCAGGCCTAAGCTTCTTAAGATAAAATACCTGCCCTAGGCAGGTAAGTGGGTAGTTATCCAGGGAGCTACCTATGACAGCCCTGCTCAATACAGTATATAAATCTAGAAGCTTATTTTCAAGGCACATGAAATAAAATTAAATCTGAAAATCATTACAGTATAAACATGAAATCTGTTAGAAATGCAATAAATGCTGAAATAGATGGTGATAATGTTCGAGTGGGGAAAAGAATTGTATTAATTTTTTATACAAGTTAATATCACATAGATGGAGTAAAATCTGCTTACAGTACTTTGGCTTTATAAGTTGAAGTTAATTCTGTTCTGTTCATGACATAGAGTACAGGAACGTTATTGAGTAGGAAATCTTGTTATATGGTTGAGTTTGCATTGAAGTATGCTTAAAGCAAATTCAAATTTCAAATTCAAAAATTTATTCCATTGCATAATATACTGTGTGTAGTTTGTGTGTAAAATATTGTTAATTACAAAGAAAGCCACTAACATGCATGAACATTTCGGACAGGTGTGGTAAAACATAAGTCATAATATCGTGGCTGGAACAATTCACAAATAACCTTGACTTGGACCACTGACTTGTTAGTGGTCTAAGATGTGTTGTCATTACTTTTCCTCCAAAGTGTGGGTTATTTTTGCAGGTGTGGTAAGTTACTTGTTAAAGGTTTTATTTTGTATTGATGAATTGCCTTACTTTACATAGCTTGAAGTGGTTTTTTATAATAGTGTTAGTGTGTTCAAAGCTCCTATTATGTCACACTGTATTCAAGTGAAGAGTTTTGCAAAACTGTTGTACTTTAAATTTTTGATACTATACCCTTCAAATGTGTTTATACAAATGCAGAAGTTTCATGGTTCACAGCAGAATGAAAGTTCTGATGTATTCTAAAAGCAGTCTAATAGCTTAACTTAGCAAAGTGTTATAGTATATTGGCCAGTCAGAACTTGTCTCCTTTGGAGTTTCTTTATTGTGCATATATCAACTTGATATGATATTCACTTCCTTGTCATTTTTTAAATGTATATATTTTGCCGTTATTATTAGCCATAAATATGTTCTTTAATTATTTGTTTTCTCTGACCAGATGTATTGCCATCTCTCAGATTTATACTTTAGATAGCTAAGTTTTCTTTTAATTAAACATTTCTAATAATATTAATTTTTAAGTAATACAGTATTTTTTTATTTTACTTCAGGTGAAAGATGTTTTGGAAGTACAATTTTGGCTCCTCTGCTCAGATTGAAACTCTTCTACAAAAGGAAGTAAGTACCTTACAGGTTTTAATATTTGTACAGTACACAATAATTGTACGTTTTTAACATTCTGGTTGTCTCCCACCGAGTCGTGATGATCTGATGAAGAGCAACATGCTTTCACTGTCATTCTTTCAATCACTGTCTTACTAGAAGGGGAGGGGGGATCTTGTTAAATATGTAGATTTGTGGCACTGTATGTGTTATACTGTGTTATCATTAATTCTATATTTTCAGGATGTTACGCTTTCGGAGCTCATGGATGAGGATGAACTCCTCCAAGAATGTAAAGCACAAAATAGAAAACTTATTGACTTGTAAGTGCAAATATGGTAAATTTTTGTATTTTTTCTAAATATTTCTAAATATAAAATAATTATTGATGATTCTGCAAAATATTGATAATGTTCAGTATATGTGTATAACATATTTTTTCAGTCTGACTCGAGCAGAGATCCTTGATGAGTTGGTATGTTTGGTGGTGAATGAGCCAGCCATGGATGGGGAGCTGCAGATGCGATTCAAATATGCTAACTTGGCTGCCGAGCTACTAACAGCAGATGTTCCGGCAATCATTGACAAGTTGGTTGCATCTACCAACCTTTTAGATATCTTGTACAAGTGAGTTTTGTTTTTGCTTGTTGGTCTGTGTGACATAGACTGTAGAATGCCCTAATATGAGTGTTTTATTTTTTCTGTAGTCTGTTTTTTTAGTTTCTTCTGGTAGACTACATACAGTGGTACCCCGAGTTTCAGCCATAATTTGTTCGAGTGCCGTTACCAAACGAATTTGTTCCCATAAGGAATAATGTAAATTAGATTAGCCAGTTTCAGACCCCCAAAAATACACTTACAAAAGCATTTAAAATAATACACTTACATAATTGTTTGAGTTGGCAGCTGTACGAAACTCGGGGTACCACTGTATTTCATATGTTAATCCCCTTTGTTTACACTGTATTTCTACACAGATTCAGGTGAACATGAATATTGAGGATGTATTTGTTTCTGGCTTCTGTTTAGGTCTCAGTTTTTATTGCTATTCAGGATTCTGAAGATGTAGAGAGAACAGTAGAATGTGTGTTTATGTAGCAAATACATGTAGGTTCAGAGATTTAAATAATGCATGTATTGACTAAAGCCTGATGTGATTCTGATGGCTGCCTTTTGCTTAGTATCGGGTGGTTGAGTTAGTTTGCTATTGTTTCTCATTAACATACATTGTAACACTTGAGAGCAATGGATGGGGGAGTTTAAGTATAGGGTGAGTGGTGTGGTATGGGGTACAAACTAACATATAAGTATACCTTCAGTTTTTTATATTTTCTTTCATATAGTTTGTACTCGGTATAGGTTTGAATTCCAGTTATTGGTGTAAAGATAGTAAATTGCATTTATCAATAATTTCTATAATGCTGTTATTAATTAGAATTTCATGAAAAGTATGAAAGAAAGGAACTCATTCACATTTTTTGTGATTGTAACCATACTGTTTGACTTGCTAACACACTTTTTCTCTAATCAGGTGCTTTATCAAGTGCTAGAATATAGACCAAATGTAAAATTGCAATTCCTGAGTAGACAAGTGGTCATTATAAATTGCATGTACATATTGGATGATGAGTATTTAGTGGCAATGGTACTTGACTGCCCATCTAACGGATGGAACTGGAAACATATTCTTCCCTCAAGGTGTGCAGTAATTTTTGTTTGTGAAAGTAAAGAGCCCCAGAGTCAAATAAAAGAAAGGGAATTTAAGTATCTTCTATATATGGCTCATTAGTTTAGTACTGTACATACATACATATATATGTATATCATTATATATACAGTGGATCCCCGAGTTTTGTGATTAATCTGTTCCAGAGAGCCCGCCGAAGGTCGAAATTCACAAAACTCGAAACCATTTTCCCCATAAGTAATAATGGAAATAAAATTAATCCGTTCCAGACACCCAAAAATATTAAAATAAAATTTTTTTTTTTCAAATTAAATAAAGATTTACATAATGAAAACAATCAGAAATCAAGTACTACATGCATTTAAAATAAATAATAACAACATTACACTTACCTTTACTGAAGACTTCTGGGTGGATGGAAGATGAGAGGAGGTGATAGGAGGAAGGTGTACACTATTGTTTGGAAGGAGAATCTCTTTCCATTAGGACTTTAGGTAGCAAGTCCTTATCTGGGGTTACTTCCCTTCTTTTAATGCCACTGGGAACAACTTGAGAGTCACTGGACCCCTGGTGCACAAAATATCTATCCAGAGAGGTCTTTTTCTGGGGTTTCTTTAAGATTTCCCTGAAGTGGGACACAACACTGTTATTGTACATGTTGCAGATACGGCTTGTTTCAGCTTGGTCAGGGTGATACTTTTCAACAAAACTTTGCAACTCATTCCACATTCCACACATGTCCTTAATCACTGAAGAAGGCACCTCATCCACTCCCTCTTCCTCCTCTGAAGCAAGTTCCTCAGCTGTGGTATGATGCTGTTCCAGTTGAAGCTCTTGCAGTTTCAGTGGTTAGCTCTTCCCTGTGGTCCTCCACCAACTCTTCCACATCTCCGTCACTCACTTTATTTATCAAAGGGCTTGCACTAGCTTTCCTTGCATCCATGATGACTTATTTAGCAGTTGCAAGCACAAAAAACAATGGATTATTATGAAATGTATTGTATGAACCCGCGGGGTGGTGGTCACGTGTTGGTAAACAATGGCACACTGAGCGTGAATGGCGTGGGAGACTGGCTTTGTGTGCGCGGTGATGGGTGTACGGGTACCGGAAGGTCGCCGAAACGAGTTTTTTCACGAAACTCGAGGCCAAATTTTTCCCAAAAAAACTCGCCAAAGGTCTAATTTCGCGAAAGTCGAGGCTGCCGAAACTCGGGGGTCCACTGTATATGTATATATCATTATTAGTGTTTTTATTTAGAAATTTAGTCAGAGCATGTTTTTACAGCTGCTTAATAGATCATGGTGAAAATTACGTTAATTTCTTATTAAAAAATTTTTCACACCCTCCATAATTTTATAAACCATTAGTTAGAGGTTATACTCGAGCTGTGTAGGTATTCTCAATCTTTCCTGTGGGAAATTATCATGGTTGGGCCATTTGGTATTGGCTTGAGAATATATGCTGATGTGTGTGTATTTCTCAGTACAGTGGTCCCTCGTTTATCGTCCTTAATCCGTTCCTGGAAGTGGGACTATTATCGAAATAGACGATTTTTGAATCAATTTTCCCCATAAGAAATAATGTAAATACAATTAATCCGTTCCCGACACCCAGAAGTATTAAAACAAAAAAATCTTTTACATGAAATATAGATGTAGTACATAAACAATACAATGGGACATGATGAATGAAACATTAACAGCATAACACTTACCTTTATTGGCGATTCTTCTTAGTGTATGGAAGACTGGAGGAGGAGAGAGATTGAATTACTGTTTGGAAGGGGAATCCCCTTCCATCAATACCTCAGGTACCAAGTGCTTTTCTGGGGTTACTTCTCTTCTCTGTTTCTTAATGCCACTAGGACCAGCTTGAGAGTCACTGGAGTCCTGTCTCGCAAAAAAATGTCCAGGGAGCTCTGTTTCTGGTGTCTCTTTAAAACTTCCCTAAAATGGGCCAAGACTGTCACTGTACAAGTTGCCAATGTGGCTTGCAACATCCTTCTCAGGGTGATGTTTCTCCATAAATCTTTCCATCCTACCCCACATTTCAAAAATCTCCTTAATTTCTGAAGAAGGCATCTTCTTCCATCTCTCTTCCTCCTCCTCTGCAGCAAGATTCTGAGCTGCGATCTGTTGCTGTTCCTGCTGAAGCTCTTGCAGCTCCTCGGTGGTTAGCTCTTCGTTGTGGTCCTCCACCAACTCTTCCACATCCTCCAAACTCACATCCAACCCCATGGAACTCCCCAATGCCACAGTAGAGTTCACAACTGACATAGGCTCATCAGGGGCTGCCTCAAACCCTTCAAAATCCCTCTTGTGGACACAATCTGGCCACAAGTTTCTCCAAGCAGAGTTCAAAGTCCTGGTAGTCACTCCCTCCCAAGCCTTACCTATAAGGCTTATGCAATGGAGAATACTGAAGTGTTCTTTCCAAAAATCTCTTAGGGTCAAGTGAGTGTCTGACGTCACATTAAAGCGCCTTTGAAACATTGCTTTGGTGTAGAGTTTTTTAAAGTTTGAAATGACCTGCTGGTCCATGGGCTGGAGGAGAGGAGTGGTATTTGGGGGCAAGAACTTTACTGTGATGAACCCAAGCTCCTTCAGAATTAGGTCATCCAAGTTTAGAGGATGAGCAGGTGCATTGTCCATTACTAGGAGGCACTTGAGATCCAATTTCTTTTCTAGGAGATAATTCTTCACACTAGGGCTAAACACTTCATTGAACCACTCAATGAAAATTTCCCTCGTGACCCATGCCTTATTATTAGATCTCCAAAACACTCACAATTTACTCTTCATAACATTGTTTTTCCTGAACACACTGGGATTTTCAGAATGGTACACTAGTAACGGCTTCACTTTGAAATCCCCACTAGCATTAGCACAGAACATGAGCGTCAGCCTGTCTTTCATAGGCTTGTGTCCTGGCAGTGCCTTTTCCTCCTGAGTAATGTAGGTCCTCTTTGGCATTTTCTTCCAAAAGAGGCCTGTTTCGTCACAATTGAACACTTGTTCAGGTTTTAGTCCTTCAGCCTCTATGTACTCCTTGAATTCCTGCACATATTTTTCAGCCGCTTTTTGGTCCGAACTGGCAGCCTCACCATGCCTTATCACACTGTGTATGCCAGTATGCTTCTTAAATCTCTCAAACCAGCCTTTGCTGGACTTAAATTCACTCGCATCACCACTAGTTGCAGGCAATTTCTTTACCAAATCGTCATGTAACTGCCTAGCCTTTTCACAAATAATCGATGTCATAAGACTATCTCCTGCTAACTGTTTCTCGTTTATCCACACCAATAATAGCTTCTCAACATCTTCAAGTACTGGTGATCTCATTTTTGTCAGCATATTTACCCCCTTTGCAACAACAGCTTCCTTGATTTCCTTTTTCTTGGCCATGATGGAAGATATGGTTGTATGGGATTTGTTATACATCCTGGCCAGTTCGCCCACACGTACGCCACTTTCATATTGTTCAGTGATGTTTCTCTTAAATTCAAGGCTTGGCACTAGGAGCTTTCTTTGGAGCCATGGTAGCTTATTTAGCACTTGCAAGCACTAAAATGAACGGAATATTATGAAATATTTCGTATGAACAAGTGAGGGCACTGACGCTCACTGGTAAACAATGGCACACTGGCTGGGAAGGGAGGCCGAGGCGACTCAGAGCCATGAGTATGCGTCCAGGACGAAAGACGATTAGCGAGTCAACGGACCATTTGCGAGCCAATATTTGGACGAAATAACGCGACGATTTCCGAAAAGGACGACTATCGAGTCGGACTATTATCGAGGGACCACTGTATTTCAAAATCTTTCTTTATAGTGAGAGCTATATTGCATTTGATTTGCTCCATATCACATGCAAAAGGAAATACAGATTATAGGAGAATTGATGTAATGTTTACTTTTAATATTTTTACTCCTTGCAGATTTCTCAAGAAGGAAAAACCCCTTAATCCTCTGTTGGCATCATTTTTCTCAAAAGTTCTGGGCATGTTGGTGCAGAGGCGCTCAGAGCAGGTGAGTTTGTTCCTACAGAGAAACACTACACCGCTACTGTGGCTCTGGGGACAGTCACATTAATTAGGAATATTATGTCAACTTTCACTTTTTGAACTTAAGTGTTAAAGTAATTATAAGAGTACAATATCTGACAAAGTTTTGCACATTCATAACTTATGCCTAACTATTAAGCACTAAAATGAATTTGTCAGTATTAGTGTCAGCATGACATTGCACAGTTCAGTAAATCTCCCAAAGTTGTTTATTATCGTTATGTTTTTGAGATTAGATGGCAACTTTTTATAAAAAAAGAAAAAAGGAACCTACTAGTAGATGTAGTTAGCTGAGTAAATATGATCTATGGCATAAATTTTGTTCTAGTTTGTGGGTGTATTTTAACCCTTTTGCTGTCAAGAACCCTGCTCACAAACTTGCTGTGTTGAAGAATTAAAAAAAAAAAAACTTATGGAATGATAGAGAATCTTTTCCCGGTGGTGATGACACCAAAAGTACGAAATTTGATGGAAAACTTATGGAATTATGCTTTCTCAAAGTTAGCGGTCTCGGCGATGTGTACGCATTGGCAATTTCGCCCACATTGAGCTCTATTTTCGGCCAATTCCATTGTCCTGGTCAACCAAACTCATAGCTATTTCACTAGAACTCCATCTGTTCTATGAATTGAGTGCAAGAAACCGCCCATTTACCGATTTCAGCAACCCAAAGAAGTGGTCAGAAATTGGCAATGTGGCCAATTTCACACAAATTTCAAAAGATGCCAATTTCAAAATAGGGTCCAGAATAAACAGTGCAGATATTCCTGTCACTAAAATAACATTTTATCTGTTCATTAGTCATGCCTCTAGGCCCCTCTTATATTACTCTTGCTTTCTATTTTGAATTTTTATTCACACAAAAAATAGAAGATTTACTGTTATGCAGACTACTGCATTATTGTAATAATTGTATAAACAATGTCAACCCATTCATGACTGTGGATTAAACTGGCCAGTTGGACACGTATTGGATGGTGATGTCATTTGTTTGCTCTTGAACATCGGCAAAAATAGAACATTTCTGCTATTATGAGCACAATTTCGAGGTACTTTTCATCATGAAACCAATCAAAATCATCTCTATTTCTGTAATACGTATATCTTCCATTCTGTCAAATGAGACCAAGAAAACGAGAATATAACAATAAATACCATATGAAGATATGCCTCAAAGTCGGTGTTTTAAACCAAAAAGTCAGATTTTTTTTTCTCATGCACTGCGTGCTGCAGGATTTTTTTTATACTGCGCAAACTGACCACACAAACCCATTCTTTCACATGCAGGTCTACCAGCTTTCTCCTGCTAGATCTGAAGCCGCTAGAATTTTGGCACATTAGTACGGCACCAACACTTGCTTGTAAGCCGTACTAATACGACACCGACAGTGAAAGGGTTGAATATGAAGTAGTAACTGTATTCTGATGAGTTGTCTGCTGCAGCAGTGGTTGTTTAAAAGTAGATGACAAAGAAAATAATAAGGAAGGTGCTGTTAAAGACAATGTGATTTTTCAGTGTATGAGTATTGCCATGAAAAACTAATAATATTATCCAGATGTGTCTGTCATGTCACATGACAGATCAACATGGATTTATGTCAGGTTGTATGGCAGGTCAACATCGACCTGTGTCAGGTCACAACACATCATGCATCTTCTTGCTTGTCTTGTAATTACATTTTTGACTTTGTGTTGGACACCCTGATAGGTTCAGATCCTACACCTGTATACCTTTGAAGAGCTTTTGAGAGTTTGACTACTCTCGGAACCCAGCCATGGACCAGGCTCGTCTGGTGCTTGCTTGGTCAACCAGGCTGTTGCTGCTGGAGGCCCGCTGCCCACATATCCATCACAGCCTGGCTGATCTGGCACCTTGTGAAGATACTTGTCCAGTTTGTTCTTGAAGGCTTCTACACTTGTCTGTATGAAGTCAGTTTCCACTGTGTCAGTGCTCAGTTTATTCTATTTATTTACAGTAGTTTTTGTCTAAGGGCAATGAATGGTGTAAATAATATGCAGAGAATTTGTAGTGTGGAAATTAAGAGGTTAGTGTGGAGTTTCTAAAAGTAATATTCAGAGGGCTGAAGAGGGGTTGTTGAGGTGGTTTGGACATTGAGAGAAGATGGAGGTAGATAGGATGACTTGGATGGTGTATGAATCTGTAGTGGAGGGGAGGAGCTGTAGGGGTCATTCTAGGAAGGAAGGGAGGGGGTAAAAGGGGTTTTGTGCGTAAGGAGCTTGGACGTACAGCAGGCATATGTGAGCATGCTTGATAGGAGTGAATGGAGACAAATGGTTCTTGGGACCTAAGGAGCTGTTGGAGTGTGAGCAGGGTAATATTTTGTGAAGGGATTCAGGGAAACCGGTTAGCCGGACTTGAGTCTTGGAGGTTGGAAGTACAATGCCTGCACTTTGAAGGAGGGGATTAGGATATTGGCTGTTTGGAGTGATGTCTAAACTGTCATATCTGAGCGCCTCTGCAAAGACAGTGTGTGAATGATGGTGAAAGTTTTGAATGATAGTGAAAGTGTTTACTTCCCTGATGGAGGCCAGGGTTCAAATCCCCCCTCAGTGCTTTCTGGTCGGTTATTTTATTCAAAAGGGTTGTGAAATTTCAGTGTATAATTACTGGAAGTGGTGTTGGAAGTGGGCTAAGTTTCTTAAATGACTGAGTGATAAGGAGTAATTTGCAAAACATGGTGTAATTTTTTGTGTTAATCGGAGGAAGGAGACGAGTTCTAGTTCTTGGTCCTGTTGCTTTAAGTTAACTTGAATGATGTGAAATGACTATCATGTATACTGTTGAATATCTTGTGTGAAGTCTGGTTCCACAGTTTTATTATTGAGTTTATTAAACCATTAACAACTCAAAACCTGAAATTTTTTGGCTATCCCTGTGGCTCATGTGGGTAAGTTTCTTATCCATTCTTTCTTGTTGTAAATGGTTCTTAGGTAAAGAACCTGTTCTTGCCTAACCTGTCCATGTCTCAAGAGTATCTTGTGTGTTGTGATACCCTTTCTTGTTCTGTGTTCTTCAGAGGAAGGCTTGGTTCTCGCATCATCTAGCATATCTCGTTCCCCCTCATCTGGTCACATCAGGTGCTTACTAAACCAACTCTTAAAAGTATAAGATCACTTTCATTACTTAAGACTTGTTTATGGTGTGGGTGATAGTGTGATAGAATTTCATGTTCAAGGCTCAGGACCTGATAGCCCTCAAGTGCTCTTCTTGACAGTTTGTTCACAGGGTTGCAAGATTGTGTGTAATTACAAGTAGTATTACAATTTAGGGGTGGTTTGAGTTATCAGGACATAACTAGGGATATATGCAACGTACAGTATGACGGAATCTCCTATTTTTATTGCTTATTTGTAGTAGCAGGCAGAGCTGTGTTCATGATGTCCAGTCAACATAATTTAATTTTCATATTTTTAGTGCCTGCCCTGAAGGTTGGATTGGGGATATTGCAGTTTGTGATATCTGTACACTTTTGGAGAAGCAGCTGTTGAATGAATGATGATGAATGTGTTTTCTTTTTTGGGTCACCCCATCGTGGCAAATAGGCGATGCAAAAAAAAAAAAAAATCCCCGACAATTAGAGGTGTGCTCAGATGTAGTGAAAAATTATTTTGCATGTGATACTAATTTTGGGAGTTTTACTGTATGAATCTATGAAACTCTTAATTATGTATATCTTAAAATATGCTGAAGGGAAGTCTTACTATAAAACACTTACTACTACTGTGGCTGCCTGCAATTCTGAGAGTAAATATATTTTGTTTGCTGACTCTTCTGAAAGCAGTTTCAAAATTAGCAATGATACAGATGGAAAAATAATTTTTTTTTTTTTGTAGTTACCACTGTAAAATTTTATTGTAAAAGCAAGTTGCACAGATATATATTGAAAATTTAGAGGAAGTAGTTATGCTTTCACTCAAAAGGTTTGAAGAAATCTTATGAGTGGTTTAACCATGTTATATATCATTTTTGTAACATAGCTAGTACCTGTACAGGTTTTATTTCCCACAGTAATACAATAATAATAAGTTTAGTGGGTTTTATTTTGTCAAAACATGACTCTTGAGCTTTATGGTAAATTTAATAATTAAAGCTAATTCAGCCTATGTAAAGAACATCATTCTTGAAGCATGTTTTGTTTAATGTGAGACTGATTACTTCCTGTGAGTCTTGTTAGTAAATAAAATACTTTCACTTAGCAGAGTTTCACAGTTCTTTAAAAAAAATTATTTTAATAGTGAAGCAGATTAAAAGCTCTCAAATATAAAGTTGAAGTGTAAGTGTTTTATTGTATAACTTTTCATCTAGAACAAATGTCATTTTAGCAATTAGTGTTTGGTACATTAAATAGCTTTTGTTTTAGAATAGATGAAATTTAGTGAAGATGGAGGTTCCTGTTGATACTAAGAGGGATAGACAAATAGGTTCTCTACACAAGTTGTTCCCCAGACCACAGTTGCTGGGCAGTATTAAAGCATGCAACTCTTCAGTCTTGGCAGATCATGGGGTGAGTTGCTTGGTGAAGTCTCCTACACAAACTATTTACTACTGCATATGGAATGTTCTGCTCAAAATACAAGCAAACTGATTTGTTACCCTCAGTGACCCTAGTGCAGCCAGTAGGCTTTAAAACTGACAAGTTTGTAATTAAGCACCATTTCTGATTAGGAATATAAAGATAATTTTACTTAGAATTATTAAATTAATATTATATGTAGTTTTGGTTTGCATATTTTGACTCGAGATCCGTCTAATCTATTCAGACAAGTAATTTATTAAGAAATGATTTGTGAAGACATTTTGTATTAACATTTTGAAAAAAAAAGTTGCATGGATTAAATCAGAAACACAGTATGCACATACTATTTTGCATTTGAAACATAATGGTTTATCAGTTCGGCTGCATCCTAGCAAAGGATAAAATAAAAAAAAATTGTGTACACTGC